AGTGTCATGCATATTCAGTTGCCAAATGCTATGATTTTCAGAACTTTTAAATTTTAAAAAAAAATAACTCTAAGCATAATAGGAAGTGTAGTACCCAAACAAGCACTTGGTACATCTAATAAGTATAATAATTCTGAATCTTTTAAGTGAAGATAATTTAAAGGGGAAAGCAAGTGAATTGGAAATCAACTTTTGTCTTGAATACTGTTTGTCAAATCTCATTCACTATTTTTTTTAAGAGTTCACTAATATGGTAGTTTCTTTGAGGGATACTCAAAGCACAAAGAGTGAAGCCTGTATGAACATATATGCACACAGATATAAAACATCTTCAATTTAAATATCTCAGCAGGATACAAACAACAACCATCATAAAATATATTAACAAGAAACAAACAAGACCTGGCATCTAAAAAGAAAAAAGAAAAGTTTTTAAAGATATTTCTATACAGATGTGGCTTTTCTCCCCTGCAGCAAGAAATTTTCATATGTATTTTGATTGATTTGATAGTTTTGTAATATCTATTTTTATAGGATAAATGTATTAGTCTGTGACAACTTTAGGATAAGTATGACCAGTATTAATTTTAAATGACAAGTACATGGAATATTTTGTTACCTGGTTGTGTCCTCCAAAAACCACTTCTCCACAACTACTATCAAAGTTAATGGTCTAAAAATCAACAGCTCTCTATCCAAAATCTACATTGCCAGTTGCAATTTAATGCCAAATCACATTCTCTTCATTGGCAGGCACGCTAGTAGTTTTGTGTGATATTTAGTCTTTTCATCTGGTTTTGTCACTATCCCTCTTGGACAAACTACCAGCTAATGGGAAAATATCCACAAACTGGAACACTGAGCAGTTGTAAGACTCTATCTTAATTTCCAGAAGCTGATTTGTCTTCTCATCCTCTCACATCTTGTTTGGGCATCTTAGAAGTTAAAGTAATGTGAAATGAAGAAACATATGGGGAAACAGCTCCCAGTGATAAACATGTGTCTACCCCCCTCCCAAAAAAAATCCTTTAATTGATTAAGAGCAGCACCAGGCAATTACTAATTCTATCCAATATAATTTGACATACAGAGGGAGACCCAAGGCAGAAAAAGCCCTACAGAGGAAGGAATCAACCTCTGATGTATGCCTAGTAGACCCTATAAAGTTGGTAAACTAAAACTAACCAATCCACGGACTATCCAGCATCTTACTTCCTTACTTCCAATTTATGGATACTGGCAATTATTTGTAAAAGACCAGTTCAGTCTTTTGAATTACTTTCAGAATGCTGTAGCCACCACAAAGATCTGGGCCTCTGGGTCTACCCTGACACTATTTAAAAGTTAAAGAAGCTACCTATAGAGACTTTACCTTCTCCTTTAATACCCTGTTTCCTCCAAAATAAGACATCCCCTGATAATAAGCCCAATCAGGCTTTTGAGCGCATGGCAATAAGGCCAAGCGCTTATTTCAGGGTTCAAAGAAATATAAAACGGTCTTATTTTCGGGGAGAAACAGTATGATTCTCCCCAGAATTATATTTGCTGTGGCTTTGCTCTGATTTTTGCTCTCCTCTCCTCACAGTATGGTTGGAAGAAAGACACTGGGAGAACTTGAGTTTTAAAATGGGAGATCAACTAGGAAAGGAAACCGCATGATAAGAAGTTATAATACGTATAATAGATCCTGAACAATGGCCAGAAAGAAAGGCCTCCCAAAACACAACTAATACGGTAATATACCTATAACAGTTTATTTTTGTTTATTACAGTCAGAGACCAGAGACCAGAGCAGGTTAAAAACACTCAAGGAATATCCAATTAAAAATTCTAGGACAAAATAACAGATAACGGATAAAATCTATATGGTATTAAAATCACAATTTGGCATCCAATCTGCCAGTTGCACATGAGCAAAACACAGCATGGCCTTTATAATATCACTCCCTACACTGTGAGGCCAGTAGTCATTAAATACTAAAATGCAAGAGAGTGACAATGCTACAATAAATAATAGATAGCCACTACCATTTGTTATAAGAGAGCCAGCTAGTTGTGGTGCTTAAGGCATCAGGCTAGAAACTAGAAGATTATGAGTTCTACTTCTGCCTTGGGCACAAAGCCAGCTGGCTGACCTTGGGCTAGTCACTTTCTGTTTCTCGCAGCCCCAGGAATCAGAAAGTGGCAAACTACTTCTAAAAAAACATTGCCAAGGAAACTGATGATTGAATGGAAGGGGAAGAAAATTTTATGGCATTCAAAGGTATGGGAGGGCAATGTTGATTTAGGAGGGGAAAGGGACTATTTTTATGCTGGTACTGTTAAAAGACTGGAGGCACTTTGGTACAAAAATGAAACATGAGGATTGTCCAGGCATTGTTGCCATTTTATCTACAAGTGGGGAAATACTGTAGTGAAGGGGAAAAAAATAATGTTTTGGAAAATTCAGTTTAAATCTGAATTCTTGCTCAGTTAGTTCAGGTTATTAGCATAAATTATCATATCTAGCTAACATTTTAA